TCGACCCATATGATACCCTTTCTAATGTATGCTATTATAGGAGGTAAATAGGGTAAGTAAACAGGATTGGCTATCTCTTGCAGTGCCGAAGGTACAAGAGAGGGTGTAAAAAATCTAACCTATAAAGTCTAACCTTTTGGGCGAACATATTTTTTTTCGACCCATTGCTACCCTTTTTTAATGTATGCTAATATTATAAGGTAGAAGACATTAGTCTGAAATAAGCTCATTACTAGCCAGGTACTGATCGAACATCTGAGCTTTATCCTGAAGTCTGTTAACATATTGAATCTGATAATGTCCTCTAACATGAACTCGGCATCGGTCACATCCTTCAATTCTGATTACTTTATTACATCCTGGCTCAGAGCAAAACTGGCCCTTATTCTTATCAAAATGTGATCGACAACCTTCAGGACGAGTGCATGCTTTACCACAAAACTTGCCAGAATAATGAAGATAAACACAAATAAATTTTGCTTTTACTTTTGCTTTTACTTTCATTTTCTAGATATATAAATAATTTTAATTAAACAAATCTTTACATAATATAGTATAAATATATATGCTATATTCAATATTATATTCAATACTTGCACAAGATGATTAACTATAAAGACATCGAATCAGCATTAGTTGAGGTAATTAAAGTGGCATATAGTCAAGGCACGAAAAAATATGACAAAATAGGATTAACATATGTGGGCTATTTGAAAATAATGCGACGTAAAAGGGACCCAGATGATCATTGCAGATATGTAGCAAAGCAACGAGCTTCAAATGAGAAAGCCTATAATGAAAGAATGGCAGATTACAAAGACTGGTATAATGAAGAAGTGTATCAGAGTATCGAAAAGTTATACAAATTATATCTCTTATTCGCGAGCCAAGAAGAGGTTATACAAAAAAGATCTATAGAAGAAGTAAACGAAATGCTTAAACTTCATGAATTAGAAATTTAATTCATAAGCATCCATCAGGGTGGTAATTCTGTATCAGGATGAATGATTTGAAGCTTCTCTCTTACAAAGGATCTTTTTGGGCCATTGTTCTCATCATCTATTAGCCAGTACAAGACCAGCTGATTTTTTTGCACTAGAGATTTACAAATATGATAAATTTGAAGAGACCAATTACAATCAGTTGTACGTCGTCTCCCACCTTTTAATTCACCAGAATTAAGCAAATATCTTACTAAGACATCATAGAATAATTTAGGCTTATCAAACCCAATAGGTCCTTCTCGTGGCTTAGAAGCTTTAGCAAAGACATGTTCTTTTTTTGAGTTTCAACAGGAGAAATACTCAGAAGTTGAGTTACAGAATTGTCAAGCTCTACAAGAAAAATTGGAAGGTTTTTTACCCAAGCTTGACAGTGCTCAGTAGGAAGTAATCTCATTTCAACACTATTTTGAATAAAGAATGCCCATTCTTGAAGTATACGATTAAATCTCTCAACAATACCCATAGATTCTTTAGAATTAGCTAGTTGAATTTGGATATCATATTCATTCATTAGTATGATAACATTACCTTGGAATTCTACGCCCCTACCTACCATTAAAACTTTAACTTTAGACCAGATAATTAGGCATATTCTGGAGTTAAAAGTTTTACAAATCCTTTAGCCACACTAGCAGAATCACGTCTAGTTAAAGGATAGGTCCATTTAGTGCGGGTAGTAATATCTATACAATTAAGTGCAAATTTATAAGTTTTATTTCCAATTCGATCATAAGGCATATAGCATAAATCAGCTTGAATAACTTTCATAAGTACGGTAATATTATTAAAAGATGCTTGTGGAATATACTTAGGCTGAGGCTTGTGAATCTGATACAAAGCCTGTTTGTTAAGCCAATTTTTTATTACGGCCAAAGTAAACACATATCTGGCTCTCTTACAAGCAGTTTGCATTTTTTTAGCAGTCCGATAATATCTCTCAGGTTTGTAATAAAGTTTCTAGAAAGCAAGATTCCAATCTAAGTCTCGCACTTTTTGAGAATCGATAAAAATAACCGGTCTTTCAGTTTGGCGCTCTCCCATTCCATTTTTTTATAATTATGAAAAAAAAAGCTGGCATCTATAAAGTCAGATTCTATTTATTAGCTGAGGGCACTTTTTCCTTGCGCTTCTGCCTAACCTCTATTTCCTTCTGCAGGTTTAGAAGAGTGTCAAACCTTAAGCAGATTGCAAGAGAATCATCTTCCAGCCTAGTAAGATCAAATACGACAAACTCACCTTTTCAAAGGTAATTATTAATAACCATAGATGCATTTTTTACATCATCAGTATAGTGCCTAATGATCTTAGAAATATCTTCATATGAGCTACCAGAGTTAAATACTATTAGATGTATTATATTTTCACAGGTGAATGTATCGAGTTTATGATATTTTTGCATTACATATACACATGAAATATTTCGATGATGCCTATTCTCAAAAATTGACCAATTCGATTTTATATATGCTTTGAAGCTAAGCATACATCCTCAAAAATAATTAATGTACTTCTCTTAGGTGAGAATGCTCTTGTACTATGAATTTTTTTGGGTGGTATATAGCTGAAACTAATATTCTTATAGTAAGGTGCTCTTGGGTCTTTCAAAATCATATTATATATATATCTAACATATGCCTATTTTGGTTCGTCTGGATGATAACCGCATATAATCAGGTCATCATAGCAGATATATCTAGACCCACCTTTCTTCCCCTTTTGCACATATTCATCCTTATCACCAAGAACAAGGTTCGCAAGTAAATTAGTTTACCTGTACCACTTTTCCAGTAACAACTATAACGAATGTCCATGTTATTGCTAGATGACCTACATTTCGGGATGATTCATGCTCTGTAACTTCATCTATATCCAAAAGACAGAGTTTTATAGGAGGTATTTTTGTCTTTGAACGCTTCTGCATAGTGGATTAGAATTTCGTATTTTTGTTTTCTATCAAAGGGTATTATATATTTCGGAAAAATTTTCTCTTCATAAAGGGATGGAATAAAAGAATATAGATGGGAGAAGATAGATTACAGAAAGTATATGATTAGTAATAGTATTATAAGAAAGGTTGCAAGCTGAAAAAAGAAAGAACCAAATTTCTCATTACTAATCAAAGCTTTGCCAGACCTTGACATAGTAATGGGTGATATTGTGGGATAGTTACTATTAAGTTTCTCTTTTGATTTTTGTTCAGTGTGGTCTATTGGGGACTCCACTTCATTTTTTACTTTCCTTTCATCAGGTTCAAGTTCTGAGCAGTATAAAGAAAAAGAGGGAGTCTTGCCTTGAGCGTTTTTAGAAAAGAAACTGGATACCTCTTCTTCTTCATCGCTACCTGTTTTTGAATCATTAGATGACGAATGTGATTTTAAAGGGATCTGTTCTAGTTCATTTCTTTCAGCTTGACACTTTAGATTACTTACCCTAGACCTGAGGCAGAAAATTAACCTATCCTTAAATGATGAATTTTGCGTAACTTTCTCCAGTTCATTTTCCAATTCCTTTGCTTTAATTTCAAGAGAGGGATTGCTACATAACTGGATAGTATCAGAATCCTTTAATAAAACTTTTTGCATAGCTTGTTTCAACTCAGCCTTCAATTCATTTATTTTAGTTCTAAGAGAGATGATATTAGAATTCTTCAAAGATGAAGCTTTTTGCATCGAAGATATTATACTTTTCAGTGATTTAACCGTAGACTTTAGCAATTCTATTTCTTTTAACTGCTTGGTATTAAGATTGGCATGAGACTTTTGTTCGCAAGTAATTTATGAAGACAAGCTTATTATTCAAACCATTTAGTTGATTAGCTAGAAGGATAATTTGATTCATAGAATTATGCATATACTCATTTTCTTCATGCAAGTAATCTAGATCATCTTGCATACGCTCATTTTCCTCATGCGAGTGATCTAGATCATTTTGCATACACTTATTTTTTTCATCTAAAACATGATATTTAGTTATAAGCTGTTTGGCAGATCTTATAAACTTTTCGCAATCTTTTTTTAGCTGTTTTTCAAGTTCTAATCGGCTCAGTGGATATCGATTGGATGGAGGGCTTCTAAGTTTACTGCTATTACTATTACTTACATTGTTTAAAATGTAGATTTAAGGCATAGTTTTTTATCCTGCAAATATAGACAAAAAATAAAAACATTTTTTTCAAAATAATATGTTCTTTCTATATTTCCAAAATGATACATTTATCCTAATTATCCCAATAAATCTTTTCGAATTAATGTATTTATCCTATTTATTCTATTAAATTATTTTCGAAATAATACATTTTTTCTAAATATCATAAAAACTACGCTTATCTTATTTATCTCAAAGAATACATTTTTTCTAGTCATCCTATTTAATATTTTTTGAAATATTTTATCTGAAAAAAATACATCATTGTGATTATGGTTAAACAGCGTATAAATTGTAATGTGCCTTTATTTTTACCAGCTGATTACGATTTTATTATGTAACGTGAAATGAAAGGCCGAGAAAGAAAGTTTTAGATGAATTGATAGGCAAATATAACACATCAATAAAGCGCATATATCAGATTTGAAGAGGCAAAAAAGCTAATAGAATTGCCTAAAATCAACCAATAGCTGATCTTTCTAATACTACTTATGCAGGTGGGTGTTTACCTGTAGTAAACTATGACCCACCTCCTGCTATTTCCTTTCCACCTGCCTTACCACTGAAGAAAAATAGCCGAAAAAAGAAAACAGGTAAAATAAGTGTAGCATCTATTAAGACAGAGACAGAGGTACTTTCACAGCGTAGTGCTAATACCACTGATAATACTAATCTAAAATAGAATCTGAACTTAAAGAGGTATTAAAACAAATGGATGATATTAATTAACTTACTTCTTTTCAGTAAGTATTTTTATAGCACTTATTGCTTTACCAAGCCACTTTTCAGCTTTTGCAAGACGTTCTTCAAACTTCACACAGTTTACACACTTTTTTTTAAACTATTCTCGCTAGTCAGGAAGGAGTCATGTGGCCTCTCTTTTAGCAGATCCTTGACTACTGGAGCCTTGCTAAAGTTGAGATAATATATGTCTTTCCATGATCCTCTATGCGAAACTGATTTTTAGTCAGATCAAAAATACCTTTGACTTTTCGAATTCCTGTCGTATCTAACCATAACATTGAATTGGGCTCACCATTATCAATACAAGCATAATTTCTAATAATAGTGATAATTGGGTTTCCGTTCATGTCTTTTAGAGTGACCGCTACATTCGTATACCATCCTAATGCTTCAGAGATATGATCAGAATTATCTTTTACAGCGAATTTGGAAGGCTTATCAACTTTCCATCCAAGTGCTTCACTAGTAGCTAAATTAAATCCATCAAATTCACTTTCATTATCTAAAAAAGATTCAGAGATTGGTAAGTCATTTATATTAGCATTCAAGTATTGTAGGGATGAAAACTATTCATCTTTTTTTGACTTCTTCTCCTGAGTCTTTCGAGATAGACACATTTTACGCATTGTCAGTAAAAGTTATGGCAATAGCTCATCATACGTTTCAGACTGGCTGGATTCTGAAGACAACTTTTCATTTACTAGCGCCTGTTTTTTTTTTCCAGTGTATAATACCACGCATTATTTACTTTATCATAACCACTATTATTATCTTCATCATTATTAAAATCTGAAGGCGTGTTTTGGAAATTTATAGGTGTGAGAGGCTTAAAATAAGTTTGATTAAAATTAGATCGTGCTGTCTGTCTATTGGGACAACTGCCTTTACTATGACCAGTTTCTCCACAAATATCGCATTTATGTATATTTAGTTTCTGGAATTGATTTGTTAGTTAATTTACAGCATCACAAGTTTCATTTATCCTTCTTCTACTCTATCAATTCTAGTAGAGACATTGTTTCTCTGTAGGCGAGATCTTTGAAAAGGCTTTATAAGGTAATCAGAATCCAAATCTTTCTTGTTAAATATACCTACTTCTTTTAAGTATTTGGCTACATAATAATTCTTGAGACCTTCCTCTGTTTTCAATAAAGATGGTGGACCTTTTGGCTGTCTAACAGGTTCAACTGTTTGTGAAGCAGGTACTTGGATTTGCTGAGCCATTTGTGATTGTAATTCTGTAACTTTCTTTACTAATGCCTGGTTTTCAGTTTTTTGTTGTGTCAGTGCGTTTTGGATTGCTTTTTGCATATCTTTAAAAGATATTTCATGCTGTTGCGAGGCTAAATCTGGTAAAGGTTTATATATTTGCTGAGATACTTGATTAGATACTAGTGGATCAGATAATTTATCTCTTTTATGTCTAGCTATTTGGCGTAATTCTATCTCATAAAGCTTTTTAGCTAATTCAGCCAATGGCAAATATTCACCAATATCCTCAGTTTTTCAAGCCATGGGAGTGAAAGAGCATCTAAAAACTTTCTACGTAATTCTTCAGGCCTATAGTTAGCTCGTCTACCTATTCGTAATATTTTTCTATATAATTCATCTATAGTCATGTCTCCCTTTGTGATTGTTCCATACATCATATCCCGAAGCTTCTCTTCCACCATAGGGAAATGAGTTTTTAGCCACCATACAGCTTGACCAAAATGAATGCCTGTTACAATTACTGTAATTCCATTACTAGCATTTGGTGTATTTACTGAAAGGTTGGTAGGACGACCTCCTGCTATGCGTCAGTCCTTATCCCAAGGACCTTTTACAGCTCTTAATTTTACTATTGCATTTCCAGCTTATCTGAGTGCCTCATTTAATTTATCAAAACCTATCTGTCCAGTATTACGCCCATTTACAGCTACTAAATTAGCTTGACCTGTGCCATCAGTTAAATTTACTAATTCCCAATTTTGCTTTGTAGTAATCTCATCATCGAACTATTCCAAGGTCCTTCCTCTCATACATTCTCTTAAATGTCCTATTGCCTGAGCTCTTCCGTTGGCCCCTGCACCTGCTGGATCCATACCACGATTCTGCAAGTCTAGTCTAAGTTGTGCAAGAAAGTCTGGGATACTATTGTCCCAGTTAAACCATGGATGAGGTATTCCTGCCATGTTTATTTGATTTGGTGGATTATTCTGAAGCGCCAAAATTTGTCCCTGCAAATTTAAAATATT